TTTATTCCCTTTGAGAGGTCTACGAGTTGAGCCCATTTTTCTCTTATGAATAACTGGACTTGATTTTGAGTGTGCCTCTTCTCTGTGAGAATCTTTAGGAATGATGCTGATGTCACTATGTTTAAGAATTGTGTCTCTTTCAAGTAATACTTGCAGGTTTTTATCAGAGGATGTATCAGTTTGCTCCTCTATTAATTCCCTGTTTTGCTCTGGGTTTTCTGATTCACTATCATTATACACAGTGTCCACATCTGATATCACGACGGGTTCTGCATCCATCTCCTTAATTCCTTCTGTTCCTTCACTTCTCCCATCGCCTCTATCAAAAGCTGCATTCTCAGATTCTACACTGAAAAGTATTCCTTCCTTTTCACTTTTCTCATTCACATTTTCATGTGAGTCATAGTCTTCTTTATCAGGAGATTGCATGAAGAGTTGTTGGTGTGCGTGAGATCTTGTATCTGTTGCTGAGTCTTTAAAACTAAAAATTTCCTCTGACTTTGAGGTCACACCATTACCTGCAGCAGTCTCTTTTTTGCCTTTTCTAACCTTATCAGTTTCTAGCATCTTCCCAGCATCATCTTGTAGTGGACTGTGTGTTTGAGATCTGTTCGATGAATATTGCTCTTTTTCCTTATATAGCTCCTCTTTTTCAGCTGAAACTTCACACGGTTTCGGGTGTGAAATCCAAATGGTCTCTGTGCTTGTTTCTCCGTCTTTTTCATTATCTCTTACATCCATTATTATTTGTGTTACATTGTGATCTCTTACATCACCCTGGCCTGTAATTTCAAATGCATTGTCTGTTTCAGATCCTCTTTGATCACTCGTATTCTCATTTTCTCTCGCAGCTAAAATTTGGGGATCTTTATTTTCTTCCAAAATACATTCTAAATCAGTCAGAGTATCACATGTTACTGAAGCAACATCACAAACATTACTTTCTTGTTTAATTTCCATATGAATCTCTTGCGTTTCATCAACAGCATCACTCATCTCATGTGGTAAATTGGTTGCTGTGGTTTCTGCATGGCTAATATTAGGCACAGGCACATCAAAACTTCTACTTCCTCCCACTATAAGTTGAGGCATAGAACAATCACAGTTATTATCTAGAGCAGCTATGTCATGTTGCTTTAATGAAGATTCTTGATCATTTATAGAAAGTTCCTCTTTCTGTTTTAAAACCTCCTCCTTGGCTTCTGTGTTTACATCTCTAAAGTTGTAAGATGTGTTTGTATCTTTTCTTGTATCAGGCACATGTTGGCTGTTATCGCTTAAATTACTTTCTGCTTCTTTCCAAACTTTGTTTACAAAATCCTCAGTGTGTGAACCAAACTTAAAATCCAATCCCTCGTTGAGTAATAGAGTTCCATGGTGGCTAAATGTTTCAGGTAGGGGCTTTTCTGAATCAACAAGGGGAAAAGCAACTGATTGGTTCATAGTTTCAGTTCCTGCCAAAACATCAGGCTCTTTCAGCTCAGCTCTCTCAGCCAACAAAGACTGATTTAAAACCAAAGCTGATTCTGTGTGAGACGATGAAACATCTCTTGCCACATCATCCCATGTTTGCGCCATCTCTTCTGACATGAACTTTGCTTCGCCTATGACTTCTGCTTTACTTCCATTCTCTGTCATGTTTCTTGAATGTTCTTGCACACCTACATTGTCACTGTTTTTCCCTCCGAGAAGCCTGCGGGTTGAGCCCATCCTTCTTTTTTGTCCAGAGGTACTGGCTATTGGGATTTCTTGGTGACTAAGTGTTTTTGGTTCATCAAACATGACTGAATCCTTCTGCAACAAATCACTTTCAGCTACTGTGACATCAATAGAATGGATATATGGCACCATTGGCTCATCTATAGGCATATCACTTACAACCTCATGTGAATGAGATGTTATTTCTTGATAGTGGATTGCATCTTTTTCTTCATTTTCTAAAACCGCAAACATAAGAGTTGTTCTAGGCTCCTTTCTCAATCTAGAACTTTTTGTCTGAAGGGACAAATCAGAAGGAAAACTCATTGACCTCGATTGTTCTTCTTCTGTTAGACAAGCATGTTGTTCCTCACTGGTTGATGTGTTTGGTTGAGTTACATATTCTTCATCTAACTCTCCAGTGGTCCTCACGTCAAGTTTTCTTTCAACTTTAAACCTACCAGTACTCTTGCGTGTTGATCCCATTTTTCTTTTCCGTTCTGACAGTTCATTCTCCATGAGTGAATCCTTGTGACCCCTTGCATGTGGAGGACATTCTAATGCAGATGTTTGTTGATCAACGCTTGAGCTTGGTAGATGATCAAACTGGGTTGAATGGTAATCAGTGGAGGTGTGAAATTCATTTCGCCCATCCTCAGACTCTGCAATCCGCTGAAACCCATCATCATCTTTCTCTATATTGCTGTTAAGACCTTTAGGACCTCGTCGAGATGAACCAAGTCTCTGGTTCTTCTTGGATCTTCTGCCTGACATGACTGTTCATGTGTTCATATGATGAGACAAACAATGGAGATGAGTCATGTCTAAACATCTTTGACACTTAAGAACATGATTAAAAAGGAAACCAGAGAGCATTAGTGATGTGGCCCATGTATATGACTCATACCAACCGTCACACATGTGCTCTCAAATCATTGATTCCACTGAAGACTTTTGCTTGTGATGATACATAATGACAGTGAAAATCAGACCACCCATCTAATATACTAGATAGATATAAGGTCAAGAGTTATATTTTCAATATATAACAAATGTTTATTAAAAAAAACAAAAAAAACATGACACTTGCCATCACACATTTAATTTGTCCCGTATGGACGAGTAATGACAGTCTGCTCTGCTTCCATACATCCTAACGTGCTGATTATTTATTAAAATTATTTTAAAAATATGTGTAAATACACATTGTTGGACGGATGAATGTTGTGTCATGTCTTTACTCAGATGTTCGCAATGTGAAAACAAGACATTCCGCTCAACTAAATACCATGACTAAGTACACAACGTAAATATGGATAATCTGAGGATAAAACCACGCAATTTGCATGTAAAATTTTGCATTTACAAATGCAAAATGACAAAGTGTAAATGTAAGAAGAATGGATATATGGCACCATTGGCTCATCTATAGGCATATCACTTACAACCTCATGTGAATGAGATGTTATTTCTTGATAGTGGATTGCATCTTTTTCTTCATTTTCTAAAACCGCAAACATAAGAGTTGTTCTAGGCTCCTTTCTCAATCTAGAACTTTTTGTCTGAAGGGACAAATCAGAAGGAAAACTCATTGACCTCGATTGTTCTTCTTCTGTTAGACAAGCATGTTGTTCCTCACTGGTTGATGTGTTTGGTTGAGTTACATATTCTTCATCTAACTCTCCAGTGGTCCTCACGTCAAGTTTTCTTTCAACTTTAAACCTACCAGTACTCTTGCGTGTTGATCCCATTTTTCTTTTCCGTTCTGACAGTTCATTCTCCATGAGTGAATCCTTGTGACCCCTTGCATGTGGAGGACATTCTAATGCAGATGTTTGTTGATCAACGCTTGAGCTTGGTAGATGATCAAACTGGGTTGAATGGTAATCAGTGGAGGTGTGAAATTCATTTCGCCCATCCTCAGACTCTGCAATCCGCTGAAACCCATCATCATCTTTCTCTATATTGCTGTTAAGACCTTTAGGACCTCGTCGAGATGAACCAAGTCTCTGGTTCTTCTTGGATCTTCTGCCTGACATGACTGTTCATGTGTTCATATGATGAGACAAACAATGGAGATGAGTCATGTCTAAACATCTTTGACACTTAAGAACATGATTAAAAAGGAAACCAGAGAGCATTAGTGATGTGGCCCATGTATATGACTCATACCAACCGTCACACATGTGCTCTCAAATCATTGATTCCACTGAAGACTTTTGCTTGTGATGATACATAATGACAGTGAAAATCAGACCACCCTAACAAGCTGTTTTATATACTAATATACTAGATAGATATAAGGTCAAGAGTTATATTTTCAATATATAACAAATGTTTATTAAAAAAAACAAAAAAAACATGACACTTGCCATCACACATTTAATTTGTCCCGTATGGACGAGTAATGACAGTCTGCTCTGCTTCCATACATCCTAACGTGCTGATTATTTATTAAAATTATTTTAAAAATATGTGTAAATACACATTGTTGGACGGATGAATGTTGTGTCATGTCTTTACTCAGATGTTCGCAATGTGAAAACAAGACATTCCGCTCAACTAAATACCATGACTAAGTACACAACGTAAATATGGATAATCTGAGGATAAAACCACGCAATTTGCATGTAAAATTTTGCATTTACAAATGCAAAATGACAAAGTGTAAATGTAAGACGTGCCCCTTACAACTTGTAACACTACTAAAGTACCATGATAAACTGATGTTACCTTCTGATGCCCCTTTCAGGGATCCATTCACTTTGCAGTCCGGGGTATTTTAGCAGCGCAGTAGTAGTTGCCTGTGCTTCTCTTTTGAAGGAGGCTCAGTTCATGCAGCTTCCTTTTTGCTGCTACCCTCAACTTCCTGTGTTATTGACACAAACTGCATTATAAGTGTGATCTTGAAGTATATATTTCATGAAGAGAATTGATGATCGCTCTTACTGTGTGAAGACGTAAACAATTTTTTCTCTTCCTATTTTTTGATAGCACAGTCTAAGTGAATGTTTGAAATTTTTAATTTTTAAATCTTTTTGAGTTTTGCTGGCTCTTTAGTGGACATTTTAAAGCTTAGAAATGCAACCCAATTTAAAACACATACTATATGATGCAGTCAAATGAACCAAAATAGGTTCATGGTAAGCAGCATTTTATTTTAACTTGAAATTCCTTCCTTTAAAAAAGCCTTTACAATAAGGTTTAACATTTGTTAACATCATTAACGATTGTTGCAGCATTATAGGTAAGTTAATTCATAAATCTATTGTTCATTACTAATTCATGTTTGTTAACAATACATTGTTTATTCAACTTGAAATAATGCATTAGTACATGAAGAAAATGATCGTAACCTATATCATAATTGCTAGTAGCTCATGATACCCAATATCAATACATGTGATAATGAATTGAACCTTATAGCAAAAGGGTTACCAAACTCTTTACTGCAAGTAACATCTGAACAACTAATCAGTGTGAACTGTAGAGAAAAGTCATACAGTGATTTCATAAGGAACTTCTTTTAATGGAAGTACAAACAAAAAAAAAGCATACAAAACTGGTCACAAATGACCAGACATTCCATTCAGAACTTTTCACTGCCCAAAGAGCATAAAATTACATTCAGGCATTTAGGCAGGATGAAACCATTGCTACCCATTAAGCACAGATATCTTAAGTAAAAAAGGATAGTCAGAACACTATGGGGAAGATATATTTTAAAAACACTGGGGGCAAAAAAAAAAAATCCATCACTGTTTCCAATCATCCTGGTCTGTTGAGGAGAAGCGCACAGACATGCTTTCTCTGATGAGGCTGGCCTTGAACATTTCTCACTTCCGACCATTGGAACGTGAATGACTGAAAAGAAAGACAAATTACGTCAGCATAAATGTAAATACTCTAGCTGTGCCATTACACAACTACTCACAAGTGTAAACCTACCTGCGTGATCTTGAGAAAGACTTTGAAGGTTTATAGTTTCTATCGCGGGACAAAGACCTCTCTCTTCTCCTCTCTCTGGAAAGAGACCTATAAAAGTCAAGTAAACACGCAAGAATATATGTTATAGTTATCTCATTACTAAGGAGCTGTAAGATGAGATGCAAAGTTACAGTTTATTTCTATAAGAATGGCCATAATTAAAAATGGAAACGTGGTTATGGTGTTGACATTAGTTGCAGAAGGGTTATAAAAACATTTAAGCAACTCACCTGCTCCGACTACGACTAAAGCTCCGCCTCCTAGGAGACCTATATGCACATGCAAGAAATACTGACAAGTCAGGGGTCAATATGGCCAAAAAATATTCATGATGCATGAAGCATCACGCAATAGTTTTTGGAGTTGATACCAATTGGCCTTCAATTAAGTTTTTATGAAGCCCAATATGGGTCAACATTTTTCAAAACAACTATCAGAAGTGCCTGTTCCAGATTCATTGGCCAAACCTTTGTGCATTGATCAAAGAGGTTTCAGTATGAAAACTACTGAAACACAGAGGGATGTAAATGTATTGTTTTGATTAAAAAAACAAAACAAAAAGTCACTCTGGATATCGTATTATACATATTAACATCAGGAAAAAGGTTATACCTCAAAACCACCAAATAAACAAATTTCAAAGTCATTAAGCGGGAGGAAAAGGCATTAACTTACTATTTTGTTTTCAACAAGCTAGTTATGATGCAGTGAAGCTGAGTGCTGGTCAGGAGGGTGTAATTTGCAGGGAGATTTTGCCAGATGGTTGCTAGATGTTAACAGCTATACAGTAGGTGGCTGAAGATGTCAGCTAGATGAGGACTGCTGAGGATATGTTGTCATGTAGACATTTGGGGAGGGGCATTAGACCCGTTGATTGGTTGTAAGTGTGGCGTGGTTGGTTTTGCCGATCAGGTTAACGTTGGAGGAGGTGAAGGAGGTGAAGGAGCCTGAGAGAGGCATGCTCAGGAACCAATGGGCTGGTGGCCATGCTTGGATCATGTGAGCTGATTGGTGTACGCTGGTCACATGATGCTGAAAGAGGACTAGTTGACTGACTCAGAGGAAGAGGAGTAGAGGCTTGGTGATGTCTCTGAAAGGGGGGGGTGGGGTGGTCAGCTTCATTAAAATAAATAGAAAAATGACATAAAAACCAAACAATGAGAAGATTCTTCGGAAACCTGTAACTACAATTAGGGATGCACGATATATTGGCCACCATATCGGTATCGGCCGATAAATGCTAATTTTTTCTGTTATCGGTATCGGCCTGATAAGAAAATTTGGCCGATATCTTAAAGCCGATAAATAATGCATTATTTCCTTCAGATGCGCGCTGTTTCGTTTGCAGCCTTTTGTGCAATTGTACATTGTAATATTGTGTTTATTTGATGTATATCTGATTTATCTCATATAGAATGCGTTTGGTTAAGTTAAAAGAGCGCTTCAGTTTACCGGTGATC